CAGGAATGACCTGCAGCACAGGTATTATTGGTTGAAGTTGTGACTTGCCGAAGGACGTAGCTGCACAAGAATATCAGGTAGGTGCTAAACCGAGTGAGCAAAAGAATCAAATTAATACCTTCTGTTTTAGAGCTAATTTACTTTGGTTTTATATAGTATGCTAAGCAATATAAGATCAGATAGTGAAAATCCAAAGGACCTAATACAGTTAATCCATGACTTTTCGTATCTCAGCATGCTTGTGCAGGACTGATTTATTGTGAGCAGAAAGTAATCTCCAAATTCAACTTCCACCAGAAAAGTCCATGTTTGCGTAAAAACGACAAAAACCATGAATCTTTAAACTTTGGTTTAAAATGACTTAAGAGGAAGGGGCGTGTTACCTGGATTAGCCAAAATTAGAACAAGGTCAATATCAGGGTTAAGAGCTGCCACGGATAGCGCGAGGCATGCTCCAAGAGATTCTCCAACAAGATATATGGGCCTATTTGGTGAGTGATGATGCTCTGACCTAATCGTTCTTTCAACCAGCTTCACTAGATCTGACACATGGAAATGAATAAAAGGACCAAATTACATAGGAGGAAATCATCTGTTTTATCCAAGAACATCTTGGCAATAGAAGAACAGAAACATTTTGGCAATGAGAAAACAGAAACAACGTGCACCATTTCACTCATGTTATTTTATTAGAGTGCTACCAATAATATGAGGAGAGCAAACATTCAGAATATCATCAACGCTACATGAAATGAAACTACCGGTGAGATGTAACAGCATACAATACAGGCATATCATAGAGAGAGAGAGAGAGAGAAGAAGGAAGAACCTGTAAATGATGTTCGATCCTTAGCAGGAATATGCAAGCACCAGACGTCGAAAATCCTTCACACAGCAAGTGAAAAAGGGCATATATGTTTAGGCTACGTACTTAATTCAAATACTTCTATTCTAACTCGTACCAGGACAGAAGGATGCAGTCAAAATTTAGGAAACATAATAGTATTATTAGAAACTGAATTGGAGTTACTTCCTACTTTCCAAGCTTGTGTTGATGTCTTATAAGCCCAAGTCCAGTGCCATCAATTCCTGCATCATTCAGAAGAAGAAAGCAAAGAAGATAATTTAAAAGAAAATTAAACTTCACTTATTTAAGCTGATTTTTCAATCCAAAAAAAGAAAAAGAAAAAAAGAAAACGCAGTAGGAAAGGAAGCTTGAGCAATAATTAGACACGTGTAAGCCGATGATTGAAATTTATTTGGCAGCGATCATAGGTGAAAATGATTGTTTCGCTAATGAATCCCAAAAATAAAACAAACCAATAAAGTGTTGAGAAAAAGCTCTGTTTTGCATTTGATATCTAATAAGTTTGTAATGATGATGATGAAAAGAAAAGCATTTCCCGGGAAATCATTTGCAGAGAAAGAAAGGTAAAAGTTAGACTTTTAAATTTTTTAATTATTATTATTTTTAAAAGAAGGGAACAGAGTGAGTGATATAAATACCAGGCAAAAAGAGAAGCAGAGGCGAATTGTCCAAGCGGGACCCGCCGTCGTGTAAGGGAGAGAACCAGCGAGGCGGTCCAACGACGCCACCGTTGGAGGTGACAAAATCCTTGGCTTGCTCAAAGAAATCCGTCAAGCTCAGACGCTCTTGCTCTTCTTCTTCCGCATCCAACTCCTCCTGGTCCTCCTGACCAGGCCACCTCTTCTTCTCTGCAGCAGCTGACGTGGTCGTCGTATGAGCGTCATTCCCGGACGACCCGCCGGTTTGGTTGTTGACTGTGGTCAAGATCGTCGGAGTGTGGTCTGTGGAGACGGCGGCTAGCCTCCGAGATGGAATCGAGATCGGATTGAACTTTGATTTTCCGGATGATGATGATGATGACGACGTGAATTCGTGACGGATAACGGAGGGCAAGCGGCCGGGAAAAAGACAAACTCCGGTGGCGGCCATGGAAGTAATAGAAGTAGGCTTATGTTGCTAGCCGGGCGATTGCTGGTGGCGGTATTTAGAGGTTTGAAAGGCTGGTGAAAATGATTGCCCGAACAAATGAATATGTCATTTAGAAAAAAGAAAATAAAACAAGTGATGAAATGAAAATTAGATGGAGTGGAGTGAGGCGCGGCCTGCTGCTGCTGAGCCTGAGGGTGTGCAAAGGCTTTTTTTATAAGAGTGAATTGTTTTTGTCTTGTTTTGGAGGGAGGGAGGGAGGGGAATGATAGCGTGTGTTGCGGCTGTTGGTGCAGACCCAATGGCAATGGTAATTGGTGAAAAAAGTGTGGAAGGTTGTGGTTGTCCGTTGTCCTGGGTTCTCGCTGTTTTGTCGTTTTGGAGGTTTGTGTATGTCCCACCAAGGATCTAGTAAGATCAGTGTAGGATTTGGGTTGGGTTGGGTTGGGTTGGGTTGGGTGTGATTAGTGATTGCTGAGTATGTAGAGTTCACCTTGTGTTGATCGTTTGGTTTAGGGTTTGGCTTGGTTTCACAAATAATCAATCATCTTGATTTGCATTCCAAAAGGGTAATTAAATGAGATGGAGTTTAGGGGTTTCTTGTGCTTTGAACATAAGATGTTTTCGACAAAAAAAAGAAAGAAAGGGTAATTAAATAAAGAATAAGCAAAGAAAGAGACGGACATTTTGACATAAGATGGAGGAGAATCAGTGAAAGTCATAATAGAAAAAGAATGATTGGAAGGAGCATTGAAAAGTGATTTGATGGACTCGCGTGACTGGTGAGTGATTTTAGCAGTAGCTAGCTAGCAAGTACAAAAATGATATATGAGTATAGTGTATATCAGGTTTGATGAAAAGGACCGCGTTGCGTTGCCGTGGTTTGTTGCTTGCCCCAAGAACATTTCACATAGGCTATAAGCAAGCCTATAAGCCTATAAGTTTAAGAAAAGGAAAAAGGCAGTTTGGTCTCTTTTGGTTTTTGGTTTTGGATGATAGCATTTTTTAGTACGAACGTGATGGGGTTAGATAGATAGATGGACTCACTACTTAAGTTGTCATGTCACGACTCAATTTTCTGTAAGTGCCACGCACACAGCTAAGCTAAGCTAAACAAAACTAAATAAGTTTGCTTTAAAATTGAGGAGTAGTAGTAGTAAGTAGATGCAGTGAAATATGTTTACTGTCTCCTGTTCAAACATTTTTATCTTCCAACAAACAATATTTATGAAACAAATAAAATATCATGTTTCCAAATTAATGCAGAACAAGTTGAACAACTAATTTATATTTTTTTGGGTTACATTGAAATCATTGGTCCTTCTTGTATTGTCAATACCCACGGTTCAGCCAACGTCATTTTAAGTTTAAATTTCCCTTGTTTTTTTTTCTTTTCTCTCTGTCTTTTTGGCTGGAACTGAACCAAACAAGTTGAAGACTGAAGGCAATTAAGAAAGTGACGGTCTTCGCAGTTGTAAGCCACACAAGAAAAGTCTTGTGAGTTTACGTAAATTAGGGCGGCGAATGATGTTGTTTTTGACCAACTAACTCAAGAATAAATAGACTATAAATTTAAGTTAGGAAGGGGTAAAGAATAAAACTCACACACACGAGTATGATGAAAACTATAATTTAAGATCACTTAAGATATACCAAAAATCTGAACCAATCCAACTAATATTTTACTGATAAGAGAAATATAAGTTTAGTTAATACCAATAAGTCTGGAAACATTTTTGACAATAACAATTTTAGGTTTTTTAAATTAAAATACGGGGTGGTCTCCTCCAGGTGCAGATTATTTACACTAGACTGTTCGCTAATCTAGCCTCATTATGTCAGTAAACAAAGGAGGTGTCACTCGCATGATTGATGGGATGCACATGTAATACTATATTGTACTATAGTCTATAATATATAGACAATGAAATTGAATTGTTTATTTAGCTGACTCTCCCTGCCTGCACTGCACCTCAACTCCTTAAGCACTAGATTCCAAGTCTCTCTATAGATTCTAGAACAAGGGGGACCCAAATCAAGTTTTTATATTGAGCATGTGCCATTATTACAAACGTTGGCTTAATTTTTTTGTTTGTGTGACTTAAAACTTGGAAGTTTTCACAGGACATTGGCATATGCCTCTACTCACCACCATACGGCAAAATATTATATTGGAATTTTAGAAATTATTATTGGGTTGGGTCACTCTCACTCGTGACTCGTCCAAATATTTTTCCTTTTCTTTTTAGATGATTTGATGTGTTTAATTTTTAATCCAATATATGATTTTCACGAGACGCAATAATTAAATAGTCCAGTACCCCGCGTAAACTATATAATATACGTGTGATGTTGAAATCCCAAAATTAACGTACAAAGCATAATCATCAGTTGAGATTGAGAGTTGACCCAGCCAGCCAGTACACGCCAACCGACCTACCAACTGCCTATGGCCCGATGGATCATTATCTTTGGGCCTCTCCATCCATACTGGGTTGGGTTGGATTGGGTTAGGCTTATGAGAATGAATATTCCATTTATAAGAAACGTGCTAAAACTGTTCTGCTTACAAGAGTCGAGGAGGTGGCTCAAAATCATTTAAATGTCACAATTGTTTGTTGGTTGATTGATGGATGGACCCCAAATGTCATTCCAAATGTCTGCAAAGGACTAAGGAGAGGAGAAATTAATGATGCATGCATTATTAGGAGAGAAGAGAAGAGAAGCAACAGTACAGTGCACACAAAGGAGAGGAGAGGAGAGGAGAGGAGAGGAGAGAAGCAACATGTCACCATGTGGATGTGGTTGTGCTTCTGATAGGATAGGATTTCAATTTTAACAAACAATGGCTTGGATTGGTCGCAGAGTTGAAATTTATTATTGTACTCGACTCTTGGTGAGCTTGGACATTTTTAATTCCAATAACCCGACTACACCAACCTAATCCCTATATTTATTTGTCAAAAATAATTAGGTTTTGGGTTTCAGAAAAGGGGAACTTGTTTTATTTGTATTTTGTTTGTATAATGAAATGGAAATCCCAAAATCAAGGGTTCGAGTACGAGACAAGGGTTTTCCTTTGCCTCTTTATTCTCCTTTATTGGACAGAAGAAGAGAAAGACTGCATTTATGAAGGGTCGTCCTTTTCCGTCCTCGTTAGGTAAAACTCACTTATTACCTCTCTAAAACCCTCCCCAGATCACAACTAGATCTTCTCCTCTTTGGGTTTTTGACAAGTGCCCATCGTCCCCATTTTCTCTGTTTTCTATTCAATTCCTTGGAAAAAGAACACAACCCAGCATCAAATTCAAATGGCGTCAGAGGCTTTTAAAGAGAAAACTTCCTCTGTGCTCCCCCAAATGACATCTTCTTCAGGCCTTCCGATGTCAAGTCCAAGGCAGCAGAGTAAGAGTTTGTTGGTGGCTCAAGCCACTCTAAGAATCTCAGCCATCGTTTTCACATTGATCGCAATATCTGTTATCGTCACTAACACCCAGTCTGTCATCGTTTTTGGGTTCAAGTTCGAAGCACATTATACCTACTCAACTGCCTTCAGGTAAACACAGATCCGCCACTGACTGCAGTGCACTGCTCTCAACTCTCAAAGATCCAATTTTTGAATTTTTATTTTTATTTTATTTTTTATTTGCTGGGTTTCTGTTGTTACAGGTTCTTGGTTGGTGCTAATGCTGTGGTGTGTGCCTTCTCTGCACTGTCATTGATCTTCTTATCCTTGTTCTTAAGCCGTTCAGTGCCACAACAGCAGCGGCAGTTCAAAAACTATTTCTTTCTCTTGGTGCATGACGTGGTTAGCAGCAAATGCTTCTCTTATGATTTCATAATTCTTCATCACTTATGAGAATTGTAATAATTTAATGTGAATTGCAGGTGATGATGGTGTTGATAATATCTGGATGTGCAGCTGCAACTGCAATCGGTTACGTGGGGCGCTATGGAGAGAAAAAAATGACTTGGCAGCCTACATGCGGCTATGTCTCCAAGTACTGCGACAGAATGTCCATCTCTCTTGCCTTCTCCTATTTGGCTTTCTTTGCCTACTTGCTTCTCACTTTCACCTCTGCCCTCACTCTCATGTCTCGCCCTACTACTCAATGAATTTCAATACATCATCATCATCAGAAAAACAAAACAAAAGAAATATCAGATCAGTAAGAAATTTCCCATTTTGTTCTTAGCATTTGGGAAATATGCAGACAGAGTGATATTGCTTGCTTGCTTGCACTATTTTTTTTATTTTTTTTTTGGCTAATGAAAAAAAAACTACAAGTATGGCCTCTGTAGAAGTTATGGTTAATGAATGGTTGGATTTTATATATCGTAGTTGGTTATATTATATTAGTCCTATATTCTCACTTGCTAATTCACAATCACAAGTTCACAACCCAAGAAGGAAGGAAGTGTTAATGGATGGCAAGGCAACAACCAAAAAATGAAAATAAAGTGGACCGAAGTTTTTACAATTCATAGGCATTAGGTAGATACATAGATGACACTTGTTTGTCATCAATTACTCGACACTTGACTGGTGTAACAAGCAGGGCATCCCATTTAATTCCACATACATACAAACTTGTCATCACTTGATCTCTTGACGATGACCCATTTCCATTTCTTTGGTTTCCGCGTGGACCACCACCTATTGCAATTGCAATTTCAATAATAACATGAATGTGCATGCGTATCCATCTTCATATTTCTAATTTATATTTTGACTCAAAGTCAACTTAGGGCAGGCAGGGAAGCAAAAATGATGTCTTATCGTATATCATCAGATTCATGTATAAAGCATATACATAGATACGGTTAAGTAATTAAAGGTAAAACCAAAGCAAGACTGTAACTGGTTGCTGTCCTCCTCCTGTGGTGTGCTATCACTCGGTTTCAGTCTCATCTTCACTATCTTTAAGATGCGCTTTCAGGGTCTGGCCTTCTGTTTCCCACTTTTCGGCATCCCATGCTGGGTCCATTTCCGGTAGCTGATAGTCATCGGGTCTTAATGACAGTTGAAATTCTGGCAGGTCAGGCAATGTTTGGAGAGCCCTGCGTAATTACAAGCTTATTAATTTTGAGTTTTCCATCTTTAATTTAGTTACGGAATAAATAACATCTCCAGGATATGAAAATTGAAATAAATCATATGAACTCAGATCATCATAGACATGTATAAAGAAAGAAAGGCCCTTACTTCTCTTGTTCTAAGAGGTAGCCATACATCTGCGATTTCCTTGTTGCAACTTCAGGAATTTTCTGATGCAAATGCCTCATAGCTCCCCAGCGTGGAGGAGCCCTTGAAATTTAGAAGAAAATAAAAGAAAAAACAAATCAAAGATAAGTGGAGCCACAAGAAAAAAGCTCAAGGCAAGGAAGAAGATTTTCATGCTCTACATATATGAACAGTCAGTATCAACCTGGTAACTGGAGCTGCAAGGCAAAAGGTTAAGCAAGCTTTCTTGCTCTCTGATAGAATTTCTTCCGCGGCAAGAAAACAACATACAGCGCTAACGTGGCAGGATGGCTCATTACCCTTGTCAAGGATCAGACCATGGTAGTAGTATGCTGCAGCCTGGTAATACAAGGGTACATATCACATCTACACAGAGTGTATGCAGAACTGGGAACAATTTCGTAATTGGATGGAGATAAATCAATTGCTTTAATACCTTTGACTCAAGAAATTTCCATTTGATGAACCACATATGCTTCTTCCCACACCCGTTATTGATGTCACATCCTGACAAGCAGTGATAAGCCTGATCTCAAAAAGCAGGAGAAACGCACACTTTGTAGTAAACTCAGGATATAGTTTAAGAGTTGGACAACCAGTTGAAGGATCTGTAGAGCATGTATACAGACCTGGCTAAAATAGGTCAATTGTTCACATGCCAATCTTCTTTTGACTGATAAAGTGGCCTTCTGACAGTCAACAGCCAAACCAAGCTGAATTTCTGTTCCCTGAATTAGTCATCAAGAACAGTATCCGTAATATATATCTCAAACTCAAGCAGTCGGTAAAATAAATCAAAAAATGAAAAGAAAAAAACAGTGAATGCAGTCATAACAGAGCAATGTAATCCAGATTTTGAGAAAACTAGTCTATTTCATGTTTCTATAGTCCATGTCAAGGTTAACGAGTGTTGATGATTCTTAAGTGAAGTACCTGGCCCAGAGATTGAAAGGAAATGGCCTCCAATACACCATCATGCAAATTGTTTGGCAACTTTTTCCTGCGTTCAGAAGATTTGATGTTTTAGTGTGAAATCTTGACACCAAATTCCCAAATTTACTTTAACTCTCAACATACTTGATTTCAGGCGGTATGCGAATCAGTACATCCCGGACACAGAATTCCAAGTAGCCTGATGCCTTCAGCAGCAAGTCGACAGCAACTCTTTTGCAATCTGAAAGAAAAGATTATAATGAACACTTACTTATGAGAAGCCATAATGATTTGGCTGTAAAACCTATAATTCAAAAAAGCATGAACATATATAATAAAGGGTTATGGACAAAAATACAAACCTGAAGAGACAGTCCTTATACCGGAACCAGAATGGTCGTGTGGGATCATCAATATGTCAGCCTCCGACAATGTAAGCACAGCCATGAGGTGAACAACAGACAGGACTTCAAACCAGGAGTTTGCCACACAGGCTTCCTGCTTATCATATTTCCATCACAACAATTAATTGCATGACAAATTGGCAATGAATGATCAAAGGTTATCCCATAGTTAGCAAAATTAAGCTCGTTTCTGATGGTCTTACCTGCTTGCCATCCTCTAAGCTTTTCCACTTGAATTCAACCGATCCCTCTAGACCATATTCTGTTACATATGCAAATTAGCGTTTTATTTTTAATTGCTTGAGAGAGAGAGAGAGGGAGTTAAGTTTCTTTCAAACCTTTCTTAGTGAGCCCAATTAAAACAGACAAGTACTCCTCCAGTGCTCTCCTCAGTTCAGGAATAGCAGATCCACCTATACGAACAAACAACTCCAGTTTAGAAGAAGAAACTCGGAAAAGAAAAGAAAAAAGCCTTTTGGTTGCTGAAAAAACAGAGGGAGAGAGTCAAGTCAACATTTGAACTACAAGTTCCAAATACTTGTGTGCAAGTCCCAATATCCTAATAGCACTAACTTCCTTTGGTACATTTTCCCAGCAACCAAACAAACAGAAGACAAAGAATGATGAGAGGAAGGGAGCGCTGACCAGTGTCCTCTGCCACTAAGACAATCTGATTGCGAAGGGAAGACAATCTGTGAGCAAGATCTATTGGGATTAGGCCTCTAAGCCGCCTTTGAAGATCAGATTGTGCAGGAATTCGCGTTGATGGGACGAGGACGACGACTTCGGGGACAGTCAACTTCTTCCTCCCTCCAACAGCATAAACAGAAGAAGCGCACCCCATTTTGTTTTGTGGGTTTTATTGGTTTCAAATTCAAACATAACAATAGCATCCAACACACAACAAACCACCCATCCAACTCTGTGTTTTAAGTCCCATCAAAGACACAGAATGGTGAAAAGAACGAGAGCTACAAATGGGCATAGTTGAGGCATTTTACAACATAAAAAGTCTAATTTGACAAGGATTAGGGAAAAAAAGAGCATGCATTTTACAAGAAAGATGTGAGAGAGTGGAAGACTTGAAAAACAGAGCATGCATGAATTGAATATAAAATTGCTAAGACAATGACACTTACTGGGTATAATAATACAGAGAGGAGAGGAGAGGAGAGTTGAGAGAGAGCTGTGAAGCTTCGGGGGTGCAATAGAAACGCTAATTTAATTATGGCCAAATCTCAGAGAGAGAGAGAGAGAGAGAGAATCCGGGAAAATAGAAAGCGCTGTGACCGAGACGTGTCTCACATGGCGTAGACGACGTACTAGTAGAAGTCTCAATTTCTCTGCTGCTTTGTAAAAGGAGGAGAGGAGCCGTTGAAATTCGTCAAGAGAAAGTATTTTTTTAAGGGTCCAGGTGGACGATTGAACGTGAGCACGTGGCTTTCGAACTAGGCAATCACCTTCATGTTGGACCGATGGACAGCTGGCTTCATATCTGTGGCTCGCCGACATACGATGATTGTTCCTATAAAAGTTCTGGGCCCTTGGATCAGCCATGTCATGTACCGGTAAATTGGGAAGAGATCTCAAGAAGCACTTTCTCGGATTGAACTCTTGAGCTTTACTCTCTGTATTACTAATGAGTAAAAATTGATTTGTGGGAATACAGATACAGTTCGTTTGTTAATAGTAATACTGTACAAATATAATTTTGTATACGTCGGAAATCACGATCGATTATGGTAAGGGTGCACATATATTTAACACAACTTCTTTTTTTGTTTGGCTGGAATTGGAAGGATTCGTTAACCTTGTAAGTATAGGTTGGACTGACGTGACGATGATTCGATGAACAAAGCCTCCCTTCCGATTCTGAATCTAACAAACAAGTAATAGTTTTCTACATGCGTATGTATAAAGAATAGTAATACAGGCCAGCTTTTACAAAATCCATGTTCTAGATTAGACTGATTATTGATTGATGCATTTTAACTTCAAGTTGACAAGTTATCTCATCACCTTCTTCGAATTCCTAGTGGAAACAAAGATTATTGCTCTCTCTCTCTCTCTCTCCCCCCCCCTATCCTATGGGTATGGATGGGTGCTCTGTTTTATATAGAAAACCTAGTACGACTTAGAGAGAGAGAGAGATCAGATGTGACATATATATATATATATGATATGTCCCATGAATATGAATGAACTCAGCATGAAGGATGATAATTGAGTATCTGGCACATCGACGATGATCCCTAGAGGCAGAGTGCCAGATGAAATGTGTTAACTAACTTGGTTAGCATTTACCAATAAAAATGAGAGCACGAAAATGCCCACACCAGATCCATCATATTACCATATATTATATACCATGTATATATATATATATATATATGTATACGGAGGAGAGAGACAGCTAGCCTGGTTTGCAGAGAGAGACAGAGAGGATTGATCTTTAATTTCTATATATAAATTTGTCTCTTAAATCGGACAAAAACCACACTATATTAAGTTTACTGTCAGTCAACCATTCATCTTCCTCTCTGCAGACAGCTGATCATCATCAATCCTTATTCTATTCATCCTTCTCTCTGCATACTGTTGAGAGTGTTTGCCCCACATTGAAATGCTAAGGGACCTAGCCTGGATTTATAAGGAGTTGAGCTACTCCCCTCATAGCCAATTGGTTTTGGGGTGGAACCTTAACTTCCTTCATGGTATCAGAGTAAGGCTTCACATGCTCTCACGTCACCCA